GGCAGCTACACACGAGGGTGGTGGTGGTGGCAGCTACACACGAGGGTGGTGGTGATGGCAGCTACACACGAGGGTGGTGGTGATGGCAGCTACACACGAGGGTGGTGGTGCCAGCTACACACGAGGGTGGTGGTGGTGGCAGCTACACACGAGGGTGGTGGTGCCAGCTACACACGAGGGTGGTGGTGCCAGCTACACACGAGGGTGGTGGTGCCAGCTACACACGAGGGTGGTGGTGGTGGTAATAATTACCAGCTAAATAACACATATCACGAACTGGATTCTGCTGCGAATAGCGCTAAATGAAATTAGGCAGATGATGAGATCTTAATTAACGTCGTTCGTTGGTAAATCTGTCTAGTGGCCAGTAGCACAGATTTCCTCGTCCGTATGTAACAACGGTCCTGTGGCGAGGAAAACCTCTGCCGGGAGCTACAATGCTCTGTTTACACTCCGTGCCTTTATGTATGAAATTGACCAATCAGTCACTAGGCACTGGAGCCTACCCAATCAGGACACGTGCCTCCAAGTTGCGCGAGACCATGACGTCACAACTAGGTCACGGCTCAAGCTTAGGGCTCCTGCGACAGTTGGGCCCTTGTCCCCCCTCTCTGGACCGCGACTCGTAAAGTTCTTCCTCACTGTTTCTGGATAGTGGCTCCCTGTAGTTAACTAGTTGACATACAGCACTTATCCTCGCTCTAATTAACAAACGACTAGATACGCGACGACTCTCGCAATACCATTGGCCTTCTGATGACGTGAGCTCGCCGCACATACCCAACAAGGCATGGCTGAGTCTTGATTTTTTTTTTTTGGCAGGAATATTCCTGCGCGGGCCCTAAGCCTCTGGCTGGCCCACTAAGTCTTGAATTAAAATAACTCGACCTTGTGCGCACACTCTGTGCACTCGTGAGAGTTCCGCTGTCACCGTGCACTCACTTTGCACACATTAAGACAGCTGGCAAAATCTATTCTCCCACACTATTGCTGCTTTGCTGTGTAAGTCTGAATGTTAATTTGTTGAAATCAGATGGTGTCATGTCCATGTTTGCTGTGAGGAAGGTAGGAAGTTGGTTGGTGATTATAACAAAAGCAAGAGAGGCCTGTTAGTCCAGATGTGGTCTAAGGATGTAGCGAATGTTTGGAATGTTTGAGTGATTCGGTGGGCTTGATGATTGTGGGGATTAGCATACAGGAGTTCATGCTGTCAAGGAAGTAGTCGACTTGGGAGCTATTTTGTTGACAAAAGTCAATGTTGAAATCTTCTAAAATGGTGTAATTTTTGTTGAGTTTGTTACTTGTAATTCCCCAGATTATTTGAGAATGAAGTTATATTGGTATTAGGAAACCTATAAACAGGTTCAATAGTTAAAAAGAACTTAAGGGATAGGTTGCGGCCTCACTTAGCCAGTAACCGGGTTCATTCCATTTACACTTTCTCTGGGGCCTTAGTGTCTCATTTTACCAGATCCAACCCCGCGTCATAGGTACGTTTTCAGGAACTGAATAGTAATAGTCAGTCCAGCGGACATGAGGAGTAAACAACACTAAACAAAACCATCACACGTGTTCTTAACTATATACGCTTATTAAGGCTGTACAACACATAACACAGCAGGTGTCACTTAACTATATACGCTTATTAAGGCTGTACAACACATAACACAGCAGGTGTCACTTAACTATATACGCTTATTAGGCTGTATAGCAGGTGTCACTTAACTATATACGCTTATTAAGGCTGTACAACACATAACACAGCAGGTGTCACTTTCACACAAGACACTACAAAAAACTTTTGCATTCTATTCTAGATCTTTTATTTTGGCGAGTCCACTTCTATCTTCTATCATACAACACTCAAGGTACCTTCCCTGAGCCTTTCTTCTACGGTCCTCACGCCGAAAAGTTCACTTTTCTCAGTAAATCATGGACCAGTCCTCCACAGTATCATCAGTGTCTGAACACCACTTTCACTCTCCAGCAACACTATGGCTGGCTTCCCTTAAAAGACTTCACCTATAACAAGGCTTAACATTGTGGACAGACAGACGTTAATTCCACCTAGTACCTCAACTGGGCCATCCTGGGATAAGTCGGTCCAATCACCAATTCTTCAGTGGTTATCACAGACAATTCACAGTCTCCACCGACTCGGCGAACTGGTTCCCACTGGAATAAGTCTTGAGTTCAGGGCTGCCTTGGGGGAACTGATTCTTGTCGATCAAGGTACCGCTCCACATCACATCTGAGGAGTACAAATTTTATAGTAAGAAGGAAACTGCACACGTGTCAGTAAGATCACAACCATCCACTAGGAAACAAAAAATGGGGTCGAGTTCGCTCAACATGTATCGTTGACATCGTCACAGGATTTGATCGAGAACTGAGCAAAGGAATATTCACAGTAATCATCTCTACTGCTGATGACACTTGAACAAGTGATGTTTTCCTGATAACTAATTGATGTACAGACCCACTTTTTTGTCTGGCCTGCAGATATGAATAGCTTTGTACTGATTAAGTTACAAATAATTGTATACAGTCTTTATCGTAACACGTCTTTATCTTAGTGCTTTATCCTAGTGCTTTTAGTAGTGCATTTATGTCATCAAAATGTATCTGACATTTCGGTTGAATACTAATAGGCTAATGTTATTTTGAAGTTTATTTTTCCATGGTTTGCCGTGTATTAACTGCAGTAATAATGATCAATGTGCTGGTATAGTCCTTCCTCCATGTTGTGATGTGGGGTTTGGTCCACAGTGTGCTGGTTGTTGTAGATATGTGACAGCAGATCTTGTTCAGATCAATGTCAGTTTGCGTGCAGCAAGAATGGACATATTTAAGGATATTCATATTAGACTATATTATGAGGCAAGAGTTTGACAAGAGATGAAATTTGTATAATTTAATAATATTAATATATACAAATATTGAGTCGGAAACAAAGTACATCAAACTATAAAATAATGATATGGTTCGATTTAAAAAGAAACTAAGAACTGATTTTTAATATTACAGAACAAATATCTATCTCATGAGTTTGTTACTTATATAAGTAATTTGTTTTAAATATAATTAAAAAATAGAGATCAGAACAGTGAAGTTTGATTGTTAATCAAATTGTAATAACAAGAATAGATGAACTGAGATTCAAATAATTAATTTACTAGGTTACAGATAGTCAGATTAAGAATGAAATTGAAATTACAATTCATGAATATCATATGGTAATAATACAGTTATATGTAACGTAAACTGACAAAATTAATAAAGAGTTTTACCTGGTGCATTAAAACTTCAGTATTCTAGCAATCATTATCTTTGTCAAACCTTTCCCTAAAGTTGGGAACGGAGGTGGCTTCCACAACTTCTCTTAGTGCCGTACACTTGTTTACTACCCGCAAAGGGTACGAGTATTTTATTACATTTCTTTTGACTCATTTGTGATTCCAGCTTTCACTTGTGTCCTTTTGTCTTACTGTCTCTCAACTAAAGAGGCTGTCCTTGTCCACCTTGACTATTCCCCTTGATATCTTGTAAGTTGTTATCATAACTCTATTTCTTTTGTTCTCTAAGATTGCGAGGCCCAGTTCCTTCAGCCTATCCTCATAACTTAACCTTTTAAGCTCTGGTACTAATCTAGTAGCAAACCTCAACACTTTTTCGATTTTTGTTTTATGTTTCACAAGACATGGATTCCAAGCAGGTGCTGCATATTCCAGTACTGGTCTAACAAAAGCTGTGTAGACGGCTTTGAACGATTCGTGATTTAGGTTTCTAATTATTTATCGAAAACATTATCTAAAGCATGTACGAGCTCTAAAATTCTGTAACACTCACATGTACGAGCTCACTCCCTCGGGTAAATCATTAATATAAATTAGAAACAACAGAGGTCCCACGACCAGTCCTTGTTACCAACTTGTTACAGTTTTCCAACTGGAGATCTCGCCTCTGACTGACTCTCTGTCTTCTGTCCTTCCGGTATTCCCTTAGCCAGTTTCGTGTTTTTCCAGTTATCCCAGCTTACATCTCCATCTTGTACACGAGCCTTTCATGAGGAACAGTGTCAAATGCCTTTTGACAGTCTAGGAAAATGCTATCTTCCCAGCCGTCTTTTTCCTTGTCATATTCTAGTAACTTTGTCATAGAACTCGATCAGGTTTGTCAAGCACGACTTTCCCTTTTTTAAATCCATGCTGCTGTTCTGTTATAGAGTTTATCGTCTGTAGATGCTCCACTTTTCTCGACCTGATTACTCTCTCCGGCACTTTGAAAGGAATTTTGTTAGTCAGTGACACTGGTCTGTAATTTAGTGCCTCCTGGCTGTCCTGTTTCGAATGTTTTATTAAAAACTTCAGTTAGTGGGTGAAATAGTACCTCTGCAGCCTCCTTCAGTATCCACGGTGATATTAAGTCTAGTCCAATTGATTTTGTTAAACCTAGTTCCTTCAGATGTTTTTTAACCTTTTCCACTGTGACTACTATGTCATCCAGTGTTTCCTCTGGCCTTTCATCACTCAACTCTGGTCTCCACATTGGTTCCATTGTAAAGACCTCCTTGAATCTTTTGTTTAGTTCCTCACACATTTCCTTGTTTTCCATGAGACTTTCCCTTTGCCTCTTTAGTCTTATCCCATGGTGTCTCTTGTTTTCTCCTTATATGGCTATAAAAGAGCTTTGGTTGGTCCTTAGTTTTTGCTGTATTTTCGTTTTCAAAATTGTCTCTTAGCTTCCCGCCTTACTCTGGTGTAATCATTCCTGGCCCTCTTTAGTGTGTCTCTATTTTTCTCTTATCCTTCCTCTGTGTTTTTTTCCATGCTTTTTTGCTCCTCTCCTGTGCTTCTGCACTGCCTATTAAACCAGGGGTTCACTCTGCCTTGTTTATCCACCTCCTTCTTGAGTGGGATGAAAGGTCCATTGCGTCTGCACATATCTCAGCAACAACTTCTATAATTTAATTTGTTGTCTTCCCTTCCTATCCTTTCCAGTTCCCTCCCCCACTGGACTTCACTTGGAGACTACAGTAAGTTGAGGAATTTTCTATGTCTGTAGTCTCTCATATTCCTTAGTGTGTTTCTTTGTCTATCCAGTTCCTTTAGCTCCATTATGTTCTGAAGCACAATAATGTAGTGTTCTCTTGCCCCTCAGAGCATCTCATAGTCTATCTTCTCCATATCTGCCTCCACTACCGAGCCTGAGTAATATAGTTGGGTTCGTTCTTGACTCACAATCGAGAATTTCGGGTTCAAATTCCGGGCGGGACAGAAATGGTTGGTTGCGTTTCGTATCTCCTCATGCCCCTGTCCACCTAGAAGTAAATAGATACCCAGGAGTTAGTCAGCTTGGGGGATTTCATCCTAAGGGAGGGTCAGTAATTTGACACTAGAGACACCTTGATATAAGCCTAACATGTAGTGTATGTATTTGTAGCAAGTATATTATGTCAGTAATATACTTGCTCCATATTTCTCATTAGCTTATGAGCAGATAATGAGATGGATCTGTTAATTCTACTTAGTCCACTTGTTACAATTGATAACTCTTCCATAATTACAGTTAATACTTCTTTCCAAACTGGAAGAGGATGGTCGAGTGAGGTGTAGGACTGGTAATATATGCAGTCGATAACCAATCATCATCAGTCTAACTCCAAGAGTGGAATACGTCCCGCCTAATCGTTTAACAACCATTTAACATGGGCGAGTGCCTTACCACTGCGTCACGGGGACATATGAACCATAATTGCGGTTCATAGGCATTGTATTAGGGTAACCTGGTGGAGAAGTCCGTGCTGTAGTTCCAGTTGTCTATCCTTGAGACTGGGTGTTCCTTTCACTCCCTTGGTCACAAATGTAACGTTTTGTAATGAAGGTTTTGGTGAAGATAAACACAGATAATAACCAGCTATATATATTTGGACACATGTAGTATACAGGGTTAGAAGATTAAGCTTGACGAGCAATGAGTTGACAGCGTGTCGGTCAGTTGAGTATTAAGATGTATACTGCTGAATGTTGCCCCATGATCTGTGGACTGTCCAGAGCGTTTGTGTCTGAACCACTATTGGAGTTAGAGTGAATACGCTCCGTTCTTGATGGCTAATATCCCAGACTTTCCATAACTTGCCAAGTTGACCATCATCTTGCTGATCACTCTTCGGCTGTCCCGAGTGATTCCTGGAACACTTGGAAGAAGTATTAATTGTAATTAGTTCACATAGTGCAGGTTTTGTTGGAGTGCAGAATTCTTAGGTATGGTTACCTTGAGGTGATTTCGGGGCTCAGTGTCCCCGCGGCCCGATCCTCCACCAGGCCTCCCGGTTGCTGGACTGGTCAACCAGGCTGTTGGACCAGCTGCTCGCAGCCTGACGTATGAGTCACAGCCTGGTTGATCAGGTATCCTTTGGAGGTGTTCATCAAGTTCTCTCTTGAACACTGTGAGGAGTCTACCAGTTAAGTTCCTTATGTGTAGTGGTTATAACTTATGTGGAATTAACATGCACACCTAATTGCCTGCAAAGGAACTTCTGATAATTTGGAGCAACTCATAAACAACAAATTTATTCCTTTGTGGCTAAGCTCACTATACTTAGTTCAAGCCAATATGACTTCAGGACCCATAAAAGCACCAACGATACACATGTACTATATATCTTTATCCTAATACATGCAGCTCGGGACAAAAAAGAGTACCCACTATAGGTCTTGACGTACATAAGGCTTATGACACTGTTAACCACAATAAACTTCTTCATAAACTCCAACACAACTGAGTCAGAGGTCACTGCCTTCAGTACTTGCCATCATACCTCAGTGACAGGCAGCAGAGTTAACGGTGCTACTTCTCCCACTCTCCCAATTAACATTGGTATTCCGCAGGGTTATCTTCTTGAGATGATTTCGGGGGGCTTAGTGTCCCCGCGGCCCGGTCCTCGACCAGGCCTCCACCCCCAGGAAGCAGCCCGTGACAGCTGACTAACACCCAGGTACCTATTTTACTGCTAGGTAACAGGGGCATAGGATGAAAGAAACTCTGTCCATTGTTTCTCGCCGGCGCCTGGGATCGAACCCAGGACCACAGGATCACAAGTCCCGCGTGCTGTCCGCTCGGCCGACCGGCTCCCATGGCCGACCGGCACAGGGTAGTATAATAGGTCCACTCATCTCTCTTATATATCAATGACCTTCCAAATGTCACACAACATCTGAAGCCATTTACCTGCAATGTAACTTTGATCATTTGGAGCAACTATATTACCCCTAATATAGTTGGTACATGTTCCTAGTGTTGTCACCTGCTTCTTGACCACATGTCCTTCCCTACTACACCCTTGTTTCCCCGTCCACACGGTCCTCCGGCTTGGTCTGTACGGACCATCACCGTCCTCATGGTCCTCCGTCCATGGCCTGCACGGACCTTCCCCGTCCACACGGTCCTCCGTCCATGGCCTGCACGGACCTTCCCCGTCCACACGGTCCTCCGGCTTGGTCTGTACGGACCATCACCGTCCTCATGGTCCTCCGTCCATGGCCTGCACGGACCTTCCCCGTCCACACGGTCCTCCGTCCATGGCCTGCACGGACCTTCCCCGTCCACACGGTCCTCCGTCCATGGCCTGCACGGACCATCACCGTCCTCATGGTCCTCCGTCCATGGCCTGCACGGACCTTCCCCGTCCACACGGTCCTCCGTCCATGGCCTGCACGGACCATCACCGTCCTCATGGTCCTCCGTCCATGGCCTGCACGGACCTTCCCCGTCCACACGGTCCTCCGTCCATGGCCTGCACGGACCATCACCGTCCTCATGGTCCTCCGTCCATGGCCTGCACGGACCATCACCGTCCTCATGGTCCTCCGTCCATGGCCTGCACGGACCATCCCCGTCCACACGGCCCTCCGTCCATGGTCTGCACGGACCATCCCCGTCCACACGGTCCTCCGGCTTGGTCTGTACGGACCATCACCGTCCTCATGGTCCTCCGTCCATGGCCTGCACGGACCATCCCCGTCCACACGGTCCTCCGTCCATGGCCTGCACGGACCATCACCGTCCTCATGGTCCTCCGTCCATGGTCTGTAAGGACCATCACCGTCCACATGGTCCTCCGTCCATGGCCTGCACGGACCATCCCCGTCCACATGGTCCTCCGTCCATGGCCTGCACGGACCATCCCCGTCCACACGGTCCTCCGTCCATGGCCTGCACGGACCATCCCCGTCCTCATGGTCCTCCGTCCATGGTCTGCACGGACCATCCCCATCCTCATGGTCCTCCGTCCATGGCCTGCACGGACCATCCCCGTCCACTCGGTCCTCCGTCCATGGCCTGCACGGACCATCCCCGTCCACACGGTCCTCCGTCCATGGTCTGCACGGACCATCCCCGTCCACACGGTCCTCCGTCCATGGCCTGCACGGACCATCACCGTCCTCATGGTCCTCCGTCCATGGCCTGCACGGACCATCCCCGTCCTCATGTTCCGTCCATGGCCTGCACGGACCATCGCCGTCCTCATGGTCCTCCGTCCATGGCCTGCACGGACCATCACCGTCCACATGCTCCTCCGTCCATGGTCTGCATGGACCATCCCCGTCCACACAGTCCGTCCATGGTCTGCACGGACCATCCCCGTCCACATGGTCCTCCGTCCATGGTATGCATGGACCATCGCCGTCCTCATGGTCCTCCGTCCATGGTCTGCACGGACCATCCCCGTCCTCATGTTCCGTCCATGGCCTGCACGGACCATCGCCGTCCTCATGGTCCTCCGTCCATGGCCTGCACGGACCATCACCGTCCACATGCTCCTCCGTCCATGGTCTGCATGGACCATCCCCGTCCACACAGTCCGTCCATGGCCTGCACGGACCATCGCCGTCCACACAGTCCGTCCATGGCCTGCACGGACCATGGCCGTCCACATGGTCCATCTATGGCCTGCACGGACCATCCCTATCCACATATGGTCCGTCTATCACCTGCACGGACTATCACCGTCCACATGGTCCGTCCATGGCCGGCACGGACAATCGCCGTTCACACAGACCGTCCATGGCCTGCAAGGACCATCACCGTCCACATGGTCCGTCCATGGCCTGCAAGGACCATCACCGTCCACATGGTCCGACCATGGCCTGCACGGACCATCACCGTCCACATGGTCCGACCATGGCCTGCAAGGACCATCACCGTCCACATGGTCCGACCATGGCCTGCACGGACCATCACCGTCCACATATGGTCCGACCATGGCCTGCACGGACCATCACCGTCCACATGGTCCGTCCATGGCCTACACCGACCATCCTCGCCCACACGGTCCTCCGTCCATGGCCTGCACGGACCATCCCCGTCAACATGGTCCATCCATGGCCTGCACGGACCATCCCCATCAACATGGTCTTCCGTCCATGGCCTGCACGGACGATCCCCGTCCACACGGTTCTCCGTCCATGACCTGCACGGACCATCCCCGTACACATGGTCCATCCATGGCCTAAACGGACCATCCCCGTCAACATGGTCCTCCGTCCATGGGCTGCACGGACCATCACCGTCAACATGGTCCTCCGTCCATGGTCTGCACGGACCATCCCCGCCCACGTGGTCCTCCGTCCATGGCCTGCACGGACCATCCCCGTACACATGGTCCTACGTCCATGGTCTGCACGGACCATCCCCATCCACATGGTGTTGGGGTTTCCACCTCTCTATTATTCTCTACCCTTACTCTGGGGTGAGCAATAGTTATGCTCAAGGTAACTCACCGTAGCCCTGCGGGTCTTCCCTCGATCCTCACGGCGCCACTGCACGCCAGGAGAGTCTCCCAGTCAATCTTAACGGCCTCTAATTAAGAAAGAGTGAGAACACGACTCGTGCACATCGACTGTCGTGTGCCCTCCCCAACAATAGGGCTCTACGGCTATTCACAAGGTCGCCAATTGGTGTTTAAGGTGGCCAATAACACCATCAGTGGACTGGTGTATTCAGTGGTAGCCTTGGCAAGGTCACACTCAAAGA